ATTCTTTTCTCCCCTACCACAGTCCTCGTTGCCTACACCAGATTTCTCGGTACCACCTCCTCTGCTTAACAATCCGCAATCCAACGGTAAGAAATGCATAATTAACACATATTTGAAGCACCGACGTGCCCTGCAAATCTACCTTTGGCTCCGTCTCTCAGTGGATCTTTTCGTGGTGTCAGCAACCAATTACTCCCTCCTGCGCTCCCAAGTACAGGGGGTTTACATGTAAGAAAGAGTTCATAAAAGGATTATGAACATTGCAAGCTACGTTTTCTTGTAGTCTTTTCATGTTTGCTTCCATGTCTCAAAATTTATGCCACCGTATCGATGTGCGATTATTAAGAAAGCGCATTTTCCTCTCTTATAGTGTTATTTCAAGTTCATTGTGGCCGTTCCTGTTCCAATTTATGGTTTTTTCAGCATTTTGGCTGCTATGCAACGCAGAGAATATTAATAGAGGAATATTATTGCAAAGAGCTATGGCAGCATCCTTTCTGTGATTATTTGTAAACAGCCCGCACGGCTACATCGATCTGATAAACAAGACTGCTGAAGAAAAAACATGCGGTTTGAAAGTATATGTGACTTTCAAGGGTGTTGTTAAAAACCTTGCTTACTGCACACATTAATTAACACATCGAGAAAGACAGCGCAAGGCACTTGCACACTGGAAACGTTTGTTTGCAGTCTTCTTCGTCTGCATGGGAACACCAGTTCGTGTGCTGAAGATGACGTAGCTTCGGCTGGGTCGTCAATTTGTATTCGTCTGAAGATTATTTGTTATTGAAACACAGTGTATATTTGTAGTAAGCGTGAGGTGGATGTAGCGCAAATTTCTACTTGTATATGCCAATGCAGACAAGTCGGCTTAGTGCCCTCGGAAAAATAGTGACCGTCATCATTGAAAAGGACGAACTACTTGTGGACAAGTTGATCCTGCTTCATTAGCTCGAGTTTTGATTCTGGATCTTAAGCACACTTACGCATTCAATATTACCATCGAAGTTAGATGCTTGGTTCCTAATGACGCTGTGTTTTTTATAAATACGGAGAGTAATGACAGCAGGATTCGATTGTTACTTCCTTTCTTAAGCCTCCTACTGAACCACCACGTTGGTCCGTGCCTCCCTCTGCAATTACCTCTTCTCCTGGGCAGCAGTCCTTCGATGCTCACCTGCCCATAACAACTACCAGTGCCACCTCGACCTCTGTTACCCCAAACGTCGGCTCTAGTACAAATGAAGCCGAAAGTAAGACCGATTCAACCGGTGAACCAGTCTGTTCGAAAGCACCCACTGATCTTGGCACTCTATTTGAAGACGGCGAGATCAGGGTTAGTTTACATTCATATTTCGTTCCAGAAACCACACTGTATTTTTTTTTCTGGAGACTCCTGAGTATACGTTTTTTTAAATTTCTCCTAGGACTTTGAGTACGAGTCTATCTCTTCTAACGAAGATCCATTCTCGGAGTCAGAGGAGCATGAAGCCACAAGCGTAAGTCCCGTTTGCTTTGCATTTTTCACATAAGTTTTTAAAATTCTTCCTTTCTAGTTGGTTTTCCCCATTTTCCTATTTTAAATTGTCCTCATTTTTTTCATCCGCTCTACCACCCGCGTCCTCGTTTTTCTTGTTTTCGCTCCTTCCTCGTTGCTGTTTTAATTTTATGAGTAATTTCTTACCCGCTGCCACAACGCATTCTTCACTCCACTCACAGATATCTGCGAAGAACTTCGCATTGGTAGAACAATCTGACCCACTCTTGGGAAAGTGGAAGTTCGACCCGTATTCTTTCGTCGACGCTGCTCCTGAAACGTTGCCTGCCACCGCCCGCTTGCGTCTACCTGACCCATCGTTAACCCTCTTCGAGGTAAGTCCGAAATTGTTTTGTCTTCTCGAGTAGTTACCCCTTCCAAGCATCCAAAATAAATGGTTACCTCGGCCTTGCCCTATTTTAGACCTATTGTTGGCTTCTTTTGAAACCGACTCCTACCGCTTCTGAGGAGGTTGAGGCAGAGACCACGGTGACGACTGCGGGGGGAGATAATGTTCCTGATGACCTGGCTCCACCCTTCACGGACGCACTCCAGGCCAAACTAGACGCCGACTTTCTTCTGAACGTCAGCGATCAATTTGGAATAGATGTGAACAATTTCAACTCAGAGTAAGTACTGCGCCACTATGGGGCGCTGAATATATGTAAATTTATTCGAATAAATTGTAAATCAGGCATCCCAATAAATGTAATTCGAAGAAAATACGTTCTTTGGGACCACAAATATGTCCTTTGTCCCAAAGAACGCCTTTTCCTCAAATATAAATATGCATTAGATCTTGCTATTCAAAAAATTATGTTGAAGTAGCACGTGTAACTACCCTGAGCTTCACTCGACCTTTTTTTTGCCTGCAACTGTTTCATGAATTGGCCGGTATGCCGACGGTAAACTTGAACGCTGAAATTGTCGGAAGTAATAAGTCACTGCGTATCCCTTGCTTAAATGGGAAAACTGATTCAACGGCAACATGATCAATCTGCATTGCATTCTTCACTACAGCAAATATGACGTGCTGCCAAATGATGAGTCAAAAGAGTTTATCTTTAGAATTAGGATCAGGCTGCAGTTGATCGTTGTTAGAACGTCATAAACGTATTTGAGATTTGGAAGCATACCAAATAAATTCGGGTCAAATGATAACTGATATGGCTGGGAAAATCGATCGATGGCGCGAGCACTTCAGTGAGCTACTGAATCCGCCTAAATGTTCAACTACAAACCTACAGCTATCAACTGGGATTCCATACGATATTGACTGCCAGCCACCTACGAGAGCTGAACTAGAATCGGTGCTACAACGACTGAAAGGTCGGAAGGCATCGGGTGAAGATGATATCCCAGTGGAAGCCTACAAAAATGGTTGTTTTGCTTTGACGGGATCACTTCACCGACTGAACTTGACTATATGGACTACAGAAATCATCCCAACTGACTGGTCACTGTCCATTATCTTGCCGATACCAAAGCGCGGTGACATGTCAATATGTTCAAATCACCGCGGAATCAGTCTCATTGATATAGCCGCCAAAGTGTTTGCAACCATCCTTCTCCGTAGATTTTCGATTGAGCGCAATCTTCGCACTCGTCCTAACCAAGGAGGATTTAGTCCAGGTAGAGGATCTATTGACCAGATCTTCCTTCTACGCCGCATACTGGAACATAGACACCAGAATCAACAGGTCACCACCGCCTGTTTCGTTGACTTCAAGACCGCCTTTGATTCCATCGGCAGAGAAGCTTTATGGCAAATCTCGCTTGCTGACGGTCTCCGAATAAAGTTGCTCAGTCTGATCAAAGCCCACTATAGCACAACATCAACCCGAGTAAGAACACTTGGTGAAGAGTCAGATTCTTTCCCACTGACTTGTGGAATTCGACAAGGATGCCTCTCTCCTTAGTTCTCTTCAACTTCTCGATCGACTGGGTGATGCATCAATCAACTCTACCTGACATTGGATGCGAAATCGGCCCTGAATTCAAAGTACCTAATCTGGAATATGCCGATGGCATTGTCTTACTTGGTAAAACCCCTCAGTCACTACAGCCAACGCTAGACCAAACCGCCAGGTTCGCTGCAACTATTGGTCTGACGATTAATGTACGCAAGACGAAGCTCCTGACTACACATCTCGACACAGCACAACCACTGTTTGTCAGCGGTCAACTCATAGAAGGCGTTAGTTGTTTCCGCTATTTAGCCAACGGACAGGCCAAAGATGAAATCCAGAACCGAATCGCGCGGACTAGGAATGCATTTAGGCTGCTAGCTAGACCACTCTGGTATCGCTCAGATATAGGCTTACGTACTAAGTTGCTGATATACAAAGCATCAATTAGACCGGTGTTAGTATATGCCTACGAAACATGGCCAATAAGAAAGGCAGACATCCTTCGCCCGAAGTCTTTGGCCGTTAGTGTCTTCGACGCCTCTTAAGAGTCTTCTGGCAGGATCAAATTTCCAATCTCTAGCTACATCGCAGATCTTTCAAACTACCAAGCCTGGCCTCTTACATCCAGTATCGCCGATTGCAATGGTTTGGCCATGTCTTGCGCAAGCCATCGACGGACCTCTGCAGATTGGTTGTGAACCCCTCCCGAAGTGCAACCTAGAGATACCAACATGGCGGTCAACTGAAGAAATGACTCAGCACTGTCAAGTCGGAAGTCGAACGGATGGGCCTCGTAACCGTTTACGGCTTGCGACACTGGAACAAACAGTGAGTTAACATTTTTGAAGAGCTCGCTTCCGATCGCCGCCAAGGGGCCACCGCTATCTGTGACATCCGTGAAGCCGATTCATCCAACATCAGGAGCCAATCAGATAAAGTAAAAGTAAAAAGCAAATACATTTTAATAATGCTTCTTGAGTTTCGGCGCGCGCTGATGTGGCGGTTTAGTAAGAAAAGGGGCACCCATTCTATCGATGCCGGCCCCATCTACTGATGTGGGGGTACTGCACCCAAAGAGCTATTGCGGACGTTTCTGCGTTGTTGGTAGGCAAGTCTAAACGTATTCTCCTTTTCTGAGTTGGCACAGTAATTTCCCTGACCATAATCAGGAATTGCTGTCCACAAACCAGTGAAGACTTGGAAGGGAAATTCAAAGTATATTTGCAGGGTAATCCATGCGCCTTAAATCTCAGGTCACAAAGGTTCGAAATTTCAATAGAAACCAGTAGGTAATTGAGTTTAGTACTCTACAAACGGAGCCATGTGGCAACTCTGCCGATTCCAACCGTTTACGATTATGGGATTTAGCTGGATCGGTGGCCATTATTCCGAGCCGAATTTGAACATTCCCGACGACAACCAGCACAGTTCAGAAGAAGGAGATGCTACCACTGGAAAAAGAGTTTTATTGTCCTGACGTTTCGGATTCCCTCGGGAATCCTTAATCATA